GAAAATTACTTTTGTACTGTTGGTGAGGTTGCAAACTAGCCTCCATGGAAAGAAGTATGGAGAATCCTTAAAGAGCTAAAAGCAGACTTTCCATACAATCCTGCAACTCCATTACTAGGCATCTACCCTGAAGTCATTTTACCATAAGGGCATTTGCATTCTAATGTTTATTGCAGTTCACTTCATGATTGCCAAGATGTAGAATCAACCCAAGGGCCTATCTACCCAGGAATAGATTAGTAAGCATGATAGATGTGTATCATGCAATACAACTCAGCCATCAAAAATATGGAGACTTTCCATCTTTTCTATTAACTTGGATGAGCGGAAGAACATTCTCTTTAGTAAAGCATCTCAAGAAAGGAAATGCAAGTATCCAATTTACTTAATACTGATATGAAACCATTAGATGAACAACTATACACCCACTTGAGACAAAAACACAGTTAAATTCAAGTAGAGGGGAGAGGGTAGGAAGGAGGGGATTTGGTGTGCTCTCTCCTAATGGGTGCAATGTAAGGCTATATGGTGCACTGCCTGGGTGAAGGGCTCAACTACAACTTGGACTCAACAAATGCAACACTGTAACCCAATTGTTTGTGCTTTCTTATTAATCTGAAATTTAAAAAAAAAAAAGAAAATTGCTCTTAGGATCACATACTCTGAGTCTAGTTTTACCTTGGAGGCCCCTACTTGTGCAGCTGCAGCCTGTTTCTCCCTTAGGTTTCAGGCTGTGCCCTCAAGACTCTAGAAAACAGAGTTTGGCTTGGAATCCTGAGGACAACTAAGCTCCCTAGCCTCACAGCTGTGTCTTCTGAGGTCACCACCCTAAACGTCAGCCTCTTTGCAGGCTCTCATCTGCCAGCTTCCTGCCTTCAAGGTGTGTTTGCCCAGCGCCACCCAGCTTCCCATTGCCCTGTCCCCACCAGCCATTCTACTGATGCTTCTTTGTTCCTGCCCTTCATGGGCAGGTCTCTGCCAGCCATCACAGTGGCCACATTGCCCTGTGGTGGTTCCTCCTCACAGCCTTCATGGGGTGGGGGCTTCTCCCTCTCCACACCCCTCAGACCTAGGGTCCAAATGCTCCTTGCACCTCCTTGCTGCTGAGCTGTGCCCCATGGCTCCTGCACCCCCTGTGCTCTCCCTCACCTCCAGGTCTTTGTGTCTGCCATGCCCCTCACCACAGGACTTCCTCAGAAGCCTCCTCTGACCCCTAGGTTGGAACATCCCC